CAGAGATCTGCCTGCCTCTGCCTCCCAAGTTCTGGGATTAAAGGCATGTGCTAACACACCCGGCAAAACATATACCTTTAACAGCCACATGGAATTCTTTCTCTTGGTTCACACAAACTGGTAGATGGTCTTAAAGAGTTACAGAAAGTAAGGATTTTTTTTTAATCCCTTTTCTCATTTTGTGATTATAAAGTTCAGGACATTGTAAATTTTATCATTTTCTACTTATGAGATACTGGCTTAAGCATGCCCCTAGAATCTCCAGAAAGCATTTTAATGTTCTACCTTGTGCCCTTCTGATATCTTCAGTTGCCACGAGAGACACAAACAGACATCTCTGACTATATCAGCCACCAAGGTATTGAATAAATGACAAAGATTTTTAGATGCATTTTTGCTTTTGCTTGCCAATAAAAGTGTGATTAAACCACCTTCCTATGCATTAATCAAAATTAAAACAAAGCAGTAGGGTGTGGTGGTACATGCCTATAACCCCCCAAGACAGGAGGCTCTCCAGTTCTAGGCTGGTTTGGGCTGCATAGTTCTACACTAGGCTGAGCTACAAGGCAAGCCCTTGCTTCATTAAAAAAAATTTTTTTGAAAAAAAAAATGACAAAGTATTTTCTCTGAACACAATGTGCTCTTCTTCCTGGGCTCAAGCCTTGATTTCTTTGCACTGCCAAGTTGCTTAGACTAGGAGGGCATACGTATTTTGAATCAGAAGTGGAGAGCAACCCTAGAATGAAACTTTGGTTAACAAAGAAGCAGATACTTTTCATTTGAAGTAATTCAAATTATTCCAAAAGACTTGGAGAAATATGCTGCTGGGAAAGACAGGATCACCTCACACATCAGTTCACATCACATAATCAACTCGGTGAGTCAGTTGGCCATAACACCATCTTTTGAACTGCTGCTGTATTTTTCTCTTCTAGGCCATTTAACTCACAAAAGCCTGAAGGTGACTATATTAGGCACACCATACTTCTGTCTTGCCCTGACAAAAGTATTCTTTGGGAAAATAACTCCTGTAGCATGACTATCAGCAAGGAAATGCACACTGCAAAATTAAGCAGATGTCTACAGTTCCTAGGCTTAACAGCCCTGTGTTGTCCTTGTGTGGGCAGTGCCCCCCTCCTAGCACAGAGCTCTGGTTGTCACTGGTTGCTTTGAAAGGCCAGAGCTAAATTCTATTACCTTGTGTCTGCACTCAAGTTGCCTACTTGTACTCAATTGCCAAGAGCCCAAGGATACCAGTCATTACCACCTTTTTCTAGTTTTTTTATTTGTTTCTTATATATGCTTAAAAATGTATACAAATTGCATTCTATTAGGGTAGCACCTCTGTATCATTGTTCTAAGTGATCTAACAGCTTTCTCCTAAATTTTTAAAGATGTCTCAAAGGACAGAAAAACCTCTAACATAGTATTTCATATGCGTATATTATAGCAAAGATGATTTAATGCAGTGCTGTTTAAACAGAGGATAGAAGGTTATTTTGCGCTCTTGCTCTCATCAGGGGATATTTGTGATTATAAATTTCAGGACATTGTGAATTTTATCACTTTCTAATTATGAGATACTGGAGATGGTGTGGGTTGTCACAACTGGGTATCACTACTGGTATCTAGTGGAGAGAGACCAGCAGTGCCGCCAAACATCCACAGTTCCTAGGAAAACTTCTCATTGGGCCCCATCCCCATCCCAAGAATATCATAGGTGCTAAGGCTGAGAAACCCTTGTCTAATATGATTTCATTATTTTGGAAATAACGAGATTAAAACTTGAAGAGATCAAAATCATAAGATTAGTGATCAATGGACAACATTAGTATATAGTTCTTGGTTTTTCTTTTTGTATTAGTCTATTTTCTGTTGCTGTAACAAGTTCATGAGGTATAAAAGGAGTTCTATTTAGCTCACAGTTTTGTAGGATGGAAGTCCAAGGTCTGGAAGACCCACATGTTGAGGCTGTGGTAAGGACCTTCTTGTGAATGGCATTACAATAGTGGAAAGTCAAGAGACGGCATCCAAGACAGGAAGCCAGAGGCTCAGGGGCCAGACTTTTCTGTAACAACCCATTTCCAAGCCTTATTTTTTGACGCAGAGTCACTAAACCTGGAGCTTGCCATTTTGGCTAGATTGGCTGGCCAGTGAGCCCCTGGGACCTGCCTGTCCCCACCCTCCTAGTGCTGGGGCTGTAGGCATCTACCACCATGCTTAGCTTTTAACATGGGTACTTGGGACCTGAACTATGCTTGTGCATCAAGCTCTTTACCCACTGAGCAATCTTCCCAGTTCCTATTTTTTTTAATTATAAGTTTTCAAAATATTTCCTAATGATTCTCTGATTTCGTTTGAATACATTTTGACATGCCCTTCTCTATCTCTAATTTTATTAATTTGCATCTCCACTCTCGTTATATTGATTAGGTTGGCTAGGGGTTTGTCAGTTTGTTTATTTTTTTCAAAAGACAACTCTATGATTGAATCTCTGTATTGTTCTTTTAGTTCCTGTTTCTGACCCAATCTTTATTATTTCCTGTTAGCCTTTGAGTTTGGCTTCTTCTTGTTTTCAGAAGACTTAGCCCTAGTTTGCATTCTATTTCAATGATAAAAACATTCTATCTAAAAACCACTTGAGGAAGAAAGGGTTTATTATATCTGACACTTCTACGTGACCAGCCATCACTGAGAGAAGTCAGGGCAGAAACTCAAGGCAGGAACCTGGAAGCAGAGACTGAAGCAGAGACCGTGGAGGAACACTGCTTTCTGGTTTGCTTCCTCCAGCCTATGCTTAGTTCACTTTCTTATACAACCTAGGACCACCTGCCCAGGAGTGGCACTGCTCACAATGAGCTAGGCCCTCCCATATCATTTGACAATCCAGGAAATGCCTCACAGACATGTCCACAGGCCTAAAGGGTAGAGGAAATTCTTCAATTGAGGTTCCCTCCTCCCAGGTGTCCCTAATTTGTGTCAAGTTGACAAAAACCA